GCAGACACAAAGGTAAAGCCATTAGGGTAGGAAATATAAATCAGTATATACGTAGCACAGGGGGATGCTTGGCCTTTTGAAATCCCTAACTGCCACCAAAAGAAAGATGTCAGAAGCAAAAACTGGGCACAAATTAGCTTCTAGGGTAAATGAGCAGAGGGTGAACTTGAGCTCATTCAGGGCAGGTTTATCCCTTTGCACTCACGTTTGTGCATGTAAAGAACATGGAGGAAATCACCATCACAGAAGGAAAAGTGCATCTTAGACTCTGATGAGTGAGACAAAGCATTTTTAGGAGATTAGGTCAGACTGGACAAGCACAGGTCAGCACTGGTAGTGGTAGGTGACAGGGACAGGGGTGAGGGGCCAGGATGGCCATCGTTGCTAAGAAGGTAGAAGCGTCTCAAACTTATTTATGCAGTTTGTCTGCCCCTGGTTTCACTCATCGTGGTCCTGTCTGTTTGGGGTGCCTGCATTTCTGGGGACAGGCACAGCACATTCACCCTGACTCTAATTTGAAACACAGAAAAGCAGTCCTTTGGGTGCAGTGATCCTGAACTGAGTGCGTGGAGCGAACATTGTGTGTTGTAGGGGAAAGCTTCATTCTCCTTCCTTGGGAAAGAACAAAAAAAATTCTCAACATCTTGTTCACTCTGACTGGGTTTACTCTTAAGATAGAAGCTATAAAAGGTATTATTTAAAATTACCAACCTTACAGTGTCCTGACTTGTGTCCTGTCCCAAGTGCAAATTAGATTATGCTTTGTTGTGCCTTTAGAATCAAGAGTCGAAAAGCTTTGTAAATACTTTGTAAGAAAGCATCCAAATAGGAAAATAATATTCACATTGCTCTGGACTTTAATACAAATCACAGTTTTGTCACATCAGATTAGAAACAAACTCATGTCCACAAAGAAAAGATCTTAAGAGAAGATGGCTGTTCTTGATTTACCAAAGAGCTGTCAACACAAGAAGCGTACGGGCAGGATTTCTTTCATCACTGTTTCCCAGGTAAAGGCACAATAAGACAAATAGCTGAGAATGTAAGACCAGAATCTTATTCAATCTTATTCAATGGCCCGCTGAAGTAATTCTCCTGGACCCAGCCCTAAACTAAAAATTCAGGTCACATTATTTTTGCAAAGAATTCATAAGTAGACAGGGGGAAAAAAAAAACCAAACCATTTTGCAATTTGGACAGTCTCTATATAGTAAGGCCTCCATTGTTTACAGTACAACTGATTTATGGTGGTAACTGCTCTTGCAGTGAAATGTTTGCAGCATGGAAAAAGTATGGAAAGTATGATGGAAGTACACAGCTTTTTCAGTCATCCTGCACTTGCCAGTGACTATTGCTGGATAACAAATCTTTCCCTAACCCAAGCTTCTCCAAGGACTTCTCTTTTCCCCAAAGAAAGCTCAGATGTGAACAACTGCTGTTCCACAGGCAGCCTCTGAGTATTTAAAAGAGGTATGCACGCAGCCTGAGCAAGGCTGTCATCCGAGAAAATACAATATGCTTGGCTTTGTCTTTTCTTATGAAGGAATGTTCATGGTATGTTGGAGACAGTCAACGATACCTCCCCAAGGTAAGGCAGTTCTCGAGGATGAATGACTCCACAAGCCATGAATGACTCTTTCCAAGCCACATCATTAAAAACGTAATGATTATGGAGACCATATGTTTTTCTTGTTACAGAACCAGTCTTTAAATGCTGTCTTTTCCAATTGTAAACTGATCTTACAGGCAGGATGACAACTTTATGAAGAAAATAAAATAATCACAGAGTTACAGTCTTTTTTATACATACATATTCTAGGAAAAGCCTTTTTTTTTTTTTAAGGACATGGAGTTAGATCAGTATTTTTGCCAGTTTCATATACTACAGGAACAAAACACAAATCCATAATTTTTTCAAATTTTGGCTAGCCAAAAAGCAAAGAGGGACTGAACTCCTCATTTGGTTGTAAATAAAAATACATCTTAGCAGACAGAAAAATGTCAGATAGCCTTCTAACATGCAGGACTATTTTAAGAGTAACAGTTGGCAAATACATTTCACTAAACAAAACCGAGAACTCCTTTATCAGCAGCGAAATGACTGTGCTAAGCACAGGGGAGCATCATTTGAAGTGTTGTGCAGCTCATCTCAATAAACCACACCACCAACAGCAACAAGCACATCCAGTAGGATTTCTCCATTCTTCCCAAAGTAAGATTTTTCAAGGCAAGACTTTAACCAGAGCTGATGCTGTGCCTGTTGCTTCTTTTGTCTGAAGCAAGTATATTTTTTTGCTTCCAAGGTATCTGTGTCCTCTGCAGCCATGCACATGACAGCATACAGGGGCAGCAATTTAATTTCAGAATATTCAGCCATTCAGGTTGGCACACGTGGGATCCTTGAGAGGCTTACCAAGTTTTTGAAACCATCCCTCGCCTACTCCCTTTCTCAGAATGGCCCTGCGTAGGTCAGCCTGGCAAACTTAAGTTTGAAGTTTCAGCTTAGCCATGGTTTATAGCACCATTCTGAATTCCCAGCCATTGAGTTGTCACAAATATGGTTGTTTCCAACTGCTGCCATCTGCAAGCAAAGCCTTTTCTTTCCCTACTTTTATTGGTGCTCAGGCGAGAAAGTGGCTTGCTCCACAATTAGACTTTGAGTTTCTTCAGCTCAGCATGTATCTGTAGGCAGGAGACTGGCTACAACTGAGCAGTGACTGCATAAGTAAGCTGCCTGGAGAGGAGCAGAATCTTGTCTTTTAATGACTGGCTTTGACTCTTAATGAGCTGAATCCCTGGCTGGATGTCAAAGACAACTGAAGTTCTACGTAAGTGAGCTCTCTATAACTTGCCCTCTGTTCTATTTGCATTGCTTGATTTTTTTTCAGCAAGCATCATCATCTGCTCTTCAATACCATCGTCACTTCAATAAATTCAGGAAGAATCATACATATTTCTAAATGTCCAGAACTCTATAAGAAAGACCAAGTTAATTTCAGTTCTAGTGTAAAAAAAAGCTAAAAAGCCCAAACTTGATGCTATAAACACAACAGGTGGAGCTGTTGGGTCAGAATAGCTGCTACAACTGGTCTTGTAAGGCTCCCCAGGTAAAAATATGGAATGAGTTTTCAGTGATAAGAAGGCCTTTACTATTTGAAATACATCACATAAAACCAATGGATCTCTTCTAACGAATTAAATTTTATCAGGTTAAAAAACAAAAACAACAAACAAAACACCACAAAAGCAGCAAAACTGATAGGATTACAAAGTGGATTACAATAGCTTTTAGGATCTATTTTGAATGTAAAACTTTAAACTGCTGGATATCAGTGTGCAGCCAGTTCATGCAGGCCTGTTGCAGCACAGCTTATCAGACTGCAGATGTCTAAAGGACAATCAGTTACACAAGCTCTGGTCCAAAACTGATGCACTTTTAATGAACAGTCCTATTTACTTTTGCTTAGATAAGACAAACTGACGTTAACCAGACTGAAATGCATTTAAATATCTTGAAATACTTTTGTACTGGCTTCACAAAATCCACATAAAATTCACCCTTTTTATTAAGCGTGTAAATTTACACACAGCCCAAACTCGGATTCACGCCATTTCTTCTTAAAACAGAACGTTCAAAGCTTTCTGTAGAAGAGTGAAATTCTGGTTGTCTCAATTTCAAATACAAAAAATATTTACATTTTGCCAAGACATAAATTGACAGGGAGATCTGTCAATATGTTCATGCTTGTCCTAAGAAACATCAGCCTGGATTTTAAAGAACAACAGTTTGGCTTTGTTAGATGGCAGCTTGCAGAGCTGACGGAGTTATTCTGTATATCTCCAGGTACTTCATGTAATCTCCTGCCTTGAAAGTAACCGCTCTGCAAATATTTACCACTCTCAGTATTCTGCACACTGTGGAATAGCTTGAGATTGACCAAGGGATTGCTATTGCAAACAGAACAGCCAAGCTGCTTGAAGTGTATTGAAGAAATTGCGCTTTACGCTACTACTATTTTTCTAGTAATATGTGAATGCCATCCTGACTAAAAAAAACACTGGCATGATTTGCCACTATGACTTCTTTACTGATGCTTTATAATTCACGTTATAAGCAGAGCCTCAAAGAGTAAGCATAGACTAAAACACATGATTTCTTTTGCAAAGATTTGGCTACGGCAGGGTTTTATGAAGAATCTGGGCAGAAAGGGAAAAGCATGACAAATTTGGCATGTACTTCTGAAAGGGTAGGATCCAGAGAGAATGGGGAGATGCCCTCAGAAACTGTCAGAGTGTTTCCTCATTGTGCAGTCACTGGTCCATCCCAAAACGCTTTATGCTTTGTTGTGGTAGGGAGCACACTAGATTAAGTGATGGCCCTCTGTGCTCCCGTGTTTTTCTGTCTGGCCTTAGTGGCAAGGAAAGTATGACAAATAAACAATTTTTTTCACAGCTAGAACCTGTCACACTTTCTCCCTTGAAAGCATCCATGAAAATAACGCTGGGTAGTTCCACTGGACTCAACCAATGCAATGTTTCAATGTTTCCAGATCTTCAAAGACACTAAGAGTCTAAAGGCGCATAGACACCCTATAATATCCTGCTTGGACACCGCTACGTCTCCCTACCTTTGAGATAAATGGGACGGCCCCCAGGCCCTGTAAGCACATACCTCTGTGAGACATCTCCCAATGCCTTTGATGCTCAGGTGACTTACACTGACCCCCAGCAGCTCCGAGGGGCTCAGCCAGCCGGATGGTCTGCAGGCCAGCGTAGAACTGAATGGGGGTAGAGGCAGCGGGATCAGACCTCAAACGCTCAAAAAGCAGCTTCCCTTTCATTGCTGTGTGGTTGCTAGTTTCATACACTGGCTTTTTAAAAAGGCTTACAAAATCCAAAAAGAGCCCTATGCGCTCTTCGGTATCGTTATTATAGAATCATTAAGGTTGGAAAAGACCACTGCAATAACATAGTTCCTTTTAATGAAACTTGCTTACCTCTTGAGTCTGTAAACTTTTATTTGTTTGCACTAAAAAGCGAGTTATTTAGTTTGGCAGGATCTACATGCTCACAGTCACATTTTTTTTTTCTTTTTTTTTGCTGAGAGGCACATTACACCAGCATGTTTTAAGTCAAGAGCGTCTCAAGCAGAAGGGTACAAGAACAGCGTGCCTTAACACGGTTTTCAAACGTTTATTAAAACAACACAAACTTCTCTCATCCAAGCAGCGATGCTGCCTGCACTGTCTGTAATCCAGTAGCCACATTACCCCAAGTTGAAGATTACATAGCAAGGAGTGTGAGAACCCAAACAATCCTCCCCCTCCTCCCCACCAGGCACTTCTGCTATTGTCCAGGAGCACGAATAGGTTTATTAATAGCTTAGCTAGCAAAAGTACAAAGGCACCAATGGGAAACGTCGCTACACTGGAACAGACCAAAACCTTCTGTCTGCTTTAGAAACATGCTCTGAGAAACCAGGCTCTGAATTTGGGACCTGAAACTGCAATCACCGCTAGGGCTCCTTCTTCTTGCTATAAAACCGGCATTCCTGGGATCTGACATCAGCCTTTTTGGCTGGCTCTGGGGCTCCAATTGCTTAGAGCCACCGATAAGCAAAGCCGCGAGGAGCACAGACCCTGCCAGAATAAGATCCCGGCTATCCCGAATGCAGATGAAGTCGCAGTTTGGAGTTACGCAGCAGAACAATGCTTTACATGAGTACAATACATGCCGTTACACAAGGTTAGGAGTTAACAGAGGGTTCGCCCCGAACGACAGTAACAACGGGAGGAGTCTGCGCTCCTGCTGCACACGCGGGTGTCACGGCGAGCCGAGAGCCGACGCTGGAAGAGGAGAACGCTCCGTCCGTTGCACGCTACGATACGGGGCAACTTTTTAGACGTACCTCCACCCTTCTACTCAACACAAACCTGCCGTTCACTCGGGAGGTCCTATACAATAAATACGCGTTTTCGGGGCGGCCGGGGGGGGTATCCTGGGCTGCAGGCTGCGGGCTCAGGCCCGCAGATAGTCGTTCTTCAGGCGGCTGAGGCGGGCGCCGTGGCTGCGCACGGTGAGGGCCAGCAGGTCGTGCTTGTCCCGCAGCCCGCTGGAGATGGCACGGGTCTCGCGGAGCAGGGCGCGGGCGTGCAGCAGCAGCCCCAGGAAGCTGTCGCCCAAGCGGGCTTCCTCGCGGCCGCCCTGCTCCTGGCCCTGCCGGAATTTGCCCTCCAGCTCGCTCAGCGAGCGGTCCGAACTGGAGTAGGCGTCGCTGATCTGGGCGGACTCGCGGCGCAGGTAGGTGCTGTAGCTCTCCTCCCCGTCCAGGTCGTAGGAGATGCTCTTGCCGATGCCCTCCAGCACCCGACCCGCGTCCTCCACCTGCCGGCCCAGTACCGTCAGCTCCTCCCGCAGGCTCAGCCCTTCGCCCGCTGCCGCCGCGCCGCACCGCCGCTGCTCGCTCACCCTGAAGAGCAGCTGGCAGCGCTCGGGGTCGTCGTTCTCCTCGTAGTCCCCGTCGGGGACGAAGTAGTGATGCAGGGTGCCGTTGGACATCTCGGGGTACAGCGGACCCTCGAAGTACCCGAGGCACAGGCTGCACAGGCAGCCGAACCACAGCAGGCGCAGCGCCGGCATGCTGCGTGCAGCCTAGGGCCGGCCGGCGCCGCGCAGCCCCCGCCCCATGGGCGCCCCGCGGGGCCGCCCGAAACGCCGCTGCGGGCCGGGAGCCCGGCCGGAGCTCTGCGCTCGGCTCACGCCGCGCCGCCCTTAAAAGCCGCGCCGAGAGCGGAGGTAGCGGCCCCGGCACCGCGCGGGACGGGCCGGCCTCCGGGCATCGCCCCGCCGGCGTGTCGGGCCGCCCCCCGCCTCCCGCCCGGCCTCCCTCCCTTCCTCCGGGCTGTTCTGCGAGACGACCTCAGCCGTGCGTGCCTTGGAAAAGAGCGGGTGCTGCGCGTCCCGCCGCGCTTTGTGAATTTCGAAGCGTTTCGTGAAACTTTTCCGCGTGCATCCAGGATGCAGCTGGATTGCAGCACGGTAGAACCTCGTGCATAGCGAGTATGGACACCGGGTCTCCTCACATCTTAGTTCGTGGAAGCAGTCATCAGACTGCAGAGATCACACCAGCCAAAGCAGGCAGGCAGAGTTCAGATTCCCGCTGCTGTCCATGAAGGCTTTGCATGCAAAAATATGTACACCTCGTTATTAATAAACATTTATGCCTCTTAAATATAAATATTTCAGCTATCATCCAGTGCTTTCTGCGTGCTGTATAAACTGGGATGGTTGTGACTTATTCATTGGGAAACTGTTCCAAGCTCTCTAAACATGGCTCTGCCTAAACGTCTTAGCTCTTCTTGGTCTCATTTATGACTGTGCCATGCAGACTAGGAGAGTTTCACTCGGAATTAAGCAAGAGCTGAGATACCAAGCAGAAAATACTGGGCTTGGATCTCTCTGGACAGAGAACCCTTTCTATCCCTGCTGGATGGCCTTACTGCTGTGGTCAGGCTGCAGGACTCTGGCTTTGTTTTTACAGAATCACAGAATGGCCAGGGTTGGAAGGGATGCAGGGCCACCAACCTCCCCATTTAATAGCAGCCCAGGCTGCCCAGGGCCCCATCCAACCTGGCCTTGAACACCTCCAGGGACGGATGGAGCATCCACAGCCTCTCTGGGCAGCTGTTCCAGCACCTCACCACTCTCTCTCTAAAGAACTTCCCCCTGACATCCAACCTCAATCTTCCCTCCCTCAACTGCAAACCATTTCCCCTTGTCCTGCTGTTATCTACACTTTCAAAGAGTTGATTCCCCTCCTGTTTGTAGGCTCCCTTTAGGTATCGAAAGGCTGCAATGAGGTCACCCCGCAGCCTTCTTTTCTCCAGGCTGAATAAGCTGAAGAAGCGTTAGACCTTTTATAGAAAACTGAAGCACAAAAGCTCAGCCTAATCCAACCTATTTATATTAGCATTTTCTGAGCTTAATTGCAAATCTAAAATGTTTCCAAACATGTGGAATGTTTGTGTTTAGACAGCTGGTCTGGCTTGGGCTTCAGCAGAGCAAAGGAAGCTGCTTGGACTCCACAGACACAGCGCACCTCTAGGTGTATGGGCACATGGCCTCAATGGACCTGGGTCATGAGCGGATGTTCAGAGCAGTGAACACCACTCAGCTCCCACTCTGCTTCCTCTGGGCTGGGTTTTGGTTGCTGACTCATTGGTTTAATTTTTGTTCTTTTTTCTGTGTTTGTCAGTCGTATAATAGTCTGTAAACGCTCTCAAGACACTGCTTGGGACAGTGATAGTTACGGGTTATCATTAAGGCTATGCTCATCACAGGGACTTGCACCCTCTGCAGCTTTGCATTTGACACCAAACTGCATGGTGCAGATGACACAACAGGAGGGACAGACGCCATCCAGAAAGACCTGAACACACTTGAAAAGTGGGCACATGGGAACATAACGAGGTCCAGTAAGGCCAAGTGAAAGGTTTGTACTTGAATCGAGCCAATCTCAGATGTGAATATAGAGTGAGAGAAGAACTCCTTGAGAGCAGCCCTGCAGAGAAGCACTTGGGGGTCTTGATAGACAAAAAGCTGGACATGAGCCAGCAGTGTGCTTTTGCAGCTTGGAAGGCCAGCAGTATCCTGGGCTGCATCAACAGAGGGATGGCAGCAGTGAAAGGGAAGTGATTGCCCTCCTCTGTTCTGCCCTCGTGAGGTTCCATCTGGAGTACTGCATCCAGGCCTGGAACCCCCAGTGTAAGAAGGATGCAGAGCTGTTGGAGTGAGTCCAGAGGAGTGACACAATGATGAATGACAGGCTGGAACAGCTCTTCTATGAGGAAAGATTGAAAGAATTGGGCATATTCAGCTTGGAAAAGAGCAGGCTCCAGAGAGACCTCATTGTGGTCTTCCAATACGTGAAGGGAGCTTAAAGGCAGCAGACAGACCAACTTTTTATACAGTCTGATAGTGATAGAACAAAGGGGAGTAGCTTTAAACTGAAAAGAGGGGATGTTCAGATTAGACATTAGGAAGAAATTCTTTTCTGTGAGGGTGGTGAGGCAGTGACACAGGCTACCCATGATCCTACGACTTTTCTTCAGTATACTCTGTTCTATCCTAAAGGGCCTTTCCCTGTCCTTAAGCACATTAGTATGCTCTCAGGAACCCACACCACCTAACCCATTGGGAGGCAGGCACTGCAAACAGAACCTGCAGGCAGTGCCAAAGGCCAGCTGCATGGAAATGCTGTGACAGTGGGTTTCAAGCCTCATTCCTCTCTAGATGCGCTTGAAGAAAGTAGTTGGGAACTGCAGTCCTGGAGTAAGAGGTTAGAGCACCCTGTTTCAACAAAACTGCAGGACAAGGGGAAATTGTTTGAAGTTGAGGGAGGGAAGATTGAGGTTGAATGTCAGGGGGAAGTTCTTTGCTATGAGAGTGGTGAGGTGCTGGAACAGCTGCCCAGAGAGGCTGTGATGCCCCGTCCATCCCTGGAGGTGTTCAAGGCCAGGTTGGATGGGGCCCTGGGCAGCCTGGGCTGGTATTAAACGGGGAGGTTGGTGGCCCTGCATGTGGCAGGGGGTTGGAGATTCATGGAGATTCCTTGAGGTCCCTTCCAAGCTTGGCCATTCTGTGATTCTGTGTTTCTGTGATTCTTCAGCTGAGCTTGCTTGGCATTTGTCCTCAGTCCATGTTTGCCAACAGAGGCTCTTTCAAATAATTTTATTCCCAAAATGCTCTTGTTTCACCCAATATTTTACTTGGTTCCCCACTCCGTGCCACCCACAGCACTGTATCTGCACAGGTTTCCTGATGGCTGCCAGCTGACTGGTTTGGCTGGCACTGCGCTGTGGTGGGCTCCCCTCTTGACATCTCTTCATGGAAGGACCACACTGTAAATCTCTCATCTCAGCTTTGTCAGCATAGTTCTGTTCCTCAGTGCCCTGACAGATGAAAACTTCAGCCTTAGCAAATTCTTTTACTCTCTCTCCTCATATATTAAGAGACCAAGAAGTGTCTGCTGCTCCCTGCCATTGCTGTTTGCAATCCAACATGAATTATCCACGTGTATTTAAATTTTCTACCCAACTAATCTTGCCTTAAGTAACCCACCTCAAATGTCTCTGCTGCTGGAAGATGGCTGCAGCTTGAGATCTGCAGCTCTAGTGACGCAGTGGGCAAAGCTTTGGTAAGAGTTAGGGCTTGCTGAAGGATGTGAGAGCCTGATTTAAGGCAATACCTATATAGGCCAGTATTACAACGTGACAGAATCCTGAATTTTTACTGAGAACATAGGTAATCATCAAGCAAAGGAAAAGATACAGGCTTAAGCTGACAGAGCAATACTTTTTGGCCATCATCTCTCCAAAATCACATTTAAGAATCAGTTCTCTTTACACTGAGACAATCTGATACGAATTCTTTCAATTTGTTTGTAAAATATTGTGCATATAAGTGAAAATCAGATTTTTTTTTTTTTTTGAAAGATACTGAAAGGGACATTTGCTTTTATGTAACAAGACAAGAGATGAAGTGTCAGGTATTTTCATCACAGCCAACGTCAGTAGCAGCACTATAGCAGAGTCTGAAACAACAACATAAAAATCAGAGTCGGTGCAGAGCTCTTAAAAGTAGTCATTAGTATTATCTGTGAGGCACAGAAGGCAGTAAAACAGGAGGAGGACAGAATGGTTTTTTTTACTGGAATACAGGAGAGGAGAGGGCAGTTTAATCCTGAATGGCACGTCTTCTACTAGGAGCCCGTATGGCTAGTTCTATGAGGTCAGAGATTTGGTGAGTTTTTGGGATGCAGCCAGGAAACAGCTGTTCCTTGTGGCATGCTCCCATGAAGGCATTGATGGCGGTCCTGGCACTGTCAACAGTCCTACTGACTGCATGGCGACAGTGCTTTACCTAATGTGTCTGCTTAAGAATATGAAAATTGCTTCTGCATAAAATCACAGAATCACAGAAACTCCAAGGTTGCAAAAGACCTTCAAAGTCATCCAGTCCAACCATGCACCCGTCACCAATAGCTCTCACTAAACCACATCCCTCAACACAACGTCCAAACGTTCCTTGAACACCTCCAGGGTTGCTGACTCCACCGCCTCCCTGGGCATCCATTCCGGTGCCTGACCACTCTTTCAGAAAATCAGTAAATGAGGAAAAAAATATTGGAAATACAAATGAAGAAGGATATTGACACTGTCTTTTTACAAATACTTGGCACAGTGCTCTGGTAAAGCCGTTGCTTTTCCACTGAGCAGCATTAGGTTTATAATAATACGAAGAACAGCAGCATTTATTCTGCTTAAAAAGTTTTCCTGTTAATGCAACAGCACCAAAATCAGGCTCCAGAAATTGCCAATGAACTGAAGGCAAATAAGTAGTGCTGTGCTCAGCGCCGGGTGATGCCTGCAAAATCTTTTTCTTCAAGCAATGCTTCATCGTTCATTTTAAACTTGCTATTTGGATGTAAGTAGTCAGTAATTTAGAGAGCAGGTATATGTTATATGGTCCTAAAGGCCCCACAGGCTTTAGGGTATAAATGCTGTTTGCTGACTACTGCCTTCTGTTTTCCCACTGCGAACAGTATATATACAGCTTTGTATGAAAGATACCTTGTTTAAACATGAGACTAACAAGTATGTGAGTGTAAAGTCTAATTGTAGGGTGCAGTACCAAGCATCAAGTTAGGTGTCAATATTAGCTTATGTATTT